GTGCAAGTCAGGGCTCTGGGTTGGGAAAGGATAGTTGTCCGATACATGCACTGGGCCTGCCTGGTCCAGGAGACCAGGGACCAGGCAGGAGGCCACCTCATTCTTGGGGTCCTCACTCCTGTGGTCTCCCCCTCAGAATGCCAAAAGGCTGCACCCACCCATGGTGAGGGGTTGATCACGAAGCTCCGTCCACAGTTTGGCCCGGGCAACCTGAAGATAACCTGAGACATCTCCATCACTTTGCCCCATCTCCGGAGGCCGCCCCATCAGGAAGTCCTCTCTGCTCACACTCCGAGCCATGCACAGCAAGATGTCGAAAAATAGAGACAGCTGGGGAAGAGTAGGAGACACAGCTATTGGGGGATTCCTAGGCCAAAGTGGGACAGTCCCATCCCCAGAGACCCTGAGAAGGGAAGGGAATAGCCTGAGGTCACATAGCCAGGTTGCCAGTGTCAGGGCTTCTCCCCCAGGCCAGGGCGCTGAGCCCCTACCCCTAGTCACCTGGACAGGCCGGGCTCCAGAGTCCAAGCCCATGTAGGTGCAGGCATCCAGGGGCGGGCTCACGTGGGTGGCCAGGAGGCGTTCAGCAGTCTCCACAGAGAAAAAGGCAACCCCAGAGACCTGGAGGAGCCCCCATGAGGGTCAGGTGCGGGGACCCTGGGGTCAGGCTTGGGCCTGAGTTAGGGAAAACAAATGAAGATGGACCAAGCAAGGCTGGTTGCCACACCAGGCAGGGTCCTTCATCTTCTGAGCCACTCCAGCACCCAGATTCCAGGCTTACCGGAAGGGGATCCCTTGAACAGGCACCTTCTGGGACCCTTCCCTCAATTTTCAGGCCTCCTCCATAACCTAGTTCTCCATCATCCCCATGGTCTGGTCCCAGACCGTTACCACCACTCCTATCCTTGCCCTTCATTCTAGAAGGCTCCCCCGAGCTGGGTTCCAGGTGTCCTCCCAACTGCATTCCTGAACTTTCTCACACTCTGGTTCTAGCCTTTTCAGTTTAGGACAAGACCCTTTCCTCACATTCTGGCCCCACCTGCTCTTCTACCACAGATACTGGTTCTACCCTGCCCTGGAATCTTCTAAAAGGAGTGGGGCTCTGCCCGTAGCAGGAAAGCAAACCCTCCCTTTTCCACAGGGTTCCCAAAGCCTCCCAACCTGGGTGGCAGCCGTACCAGTGGCACGCGCCCATCAGGCCTAGCGCACCGTTGTATGTCCGCCTCGGTGCCCTGGTAGTAAATGTCTAAAACGAAGCCCTATGTGGGAGGGAAAACAGAGTTAGGGAAGGGAGCAAAGGACAATCAGGAACAGAGACACAGTAAGGGTGTTCTCCAAAGGAAAACCTAGAGTGCATGTCTGGCAGGTACCAACATGCTCCCAGGGATCACTGTCCCACCCCGACAGTACAGGGACTTTGCATATCTTCAGAGCCCCCAGCCCAAGCACAGAGCCTGGCACTGGGTGCATGTGCAATTCAAGTTTGGCAGAAGACTAAGTGAGCACAAGAACTGCTGCCATGGAGGAAACTCCTCCAAATCCAGACTGTACCAGAGAGTCCAGGGCAAGAGGCTGCCCAGAACACAGGGCCAGGAGGCCATGCCAGGTCAGCTCAGCTGCCCACACCACCACCCCAGGGGCACTACCTGGGAGTCGGTGAGGTAGACACCATGGTTCCGGGCATAGGACATGCTCCCTGGAAAGGCGATCACTCTGGCTCCCCGGAAGCCGTCCCAGCTGATCCCTGTGGGTAGGGCAGTCAGGAGGCTCCCTGGGTGCCCCAACCCAAGGCAGACAGGCCCCAGCCAGGTAAAAAAAAGAGCTAAGGGCAGGGGCAACTAAAAGGAAACTATGGTTTCCAAGCCACATGGACATTCGTCTGGGAAAATGACAATGTCTCCCCTCCCAAAGCAGGGCGGAAAGGATAGGGCTGGCGTTCCTTTCTACAGTCCAGAAGACTGAGGCCCAGCAGGGGAAGCTCTGCCTCTGGGTCTGGGCTTCATTCTCCACACCTACAGCTTCTCTTCTGAGCAGGGCAGTGGGCAAGGCCGAGAAATGGCGAGCTAGGAAAGGCACAGCCGGCCTCTGGCTGTAGCAAGGGAGGAGGTCACAAGCCTTCTCTGGCTCACCTGGGTTAGGAGGAACGGACAGCAGCATGTCGGTGCTGCAGACCCACACACCTGGCGGGGAGCCTGGGCCCAGCTGCGGAAGAGAGAGTGCAGCTGGTGGCCTGGCCCAGCCCTTCCTCTGCTCCCACACAGCCCAGTGTCAAGCCTGTCCCCTGCTCTAAGGAGGCTCTGGCTGCTGAGGTAACAGGGGCATCCCAAGACCTTCTGTCCACCTCCTGGGATCACACCTCCCCCTAGTCTTGCCAACACTAATTTCCTGAAGCTCTAACTCTAGCCATCCCCAAAGCCGTTCTTCCTGGCACCCCATCTGAGCCAGGACAGACTATAGCTGGTGGTGCAGTGAGAGAGAGAGAAGTCCCCAAGGCACCTGGCAGCCTCACCTGATAGCTCATGATGTCCAGCAGGCGGTCCAGGTTGCAGACCACAGCCTCCACGGGGGCCTGAGGGTTCTCCACAGGGAGGCAGGTGAAGGCCCGGCCACAGTCATCGAAGGGGAAGTCTCGGCCCTAGTAGGGAAGCAGGGACAGATGAAAGGCCCTTGGGATAGAGACACTGGGGACACCTCATGGGCTGTGCAAGGGTGGAAAGTCATCAAGCTAGCAGACTTTTAAGGTGCGTTCTCTCATGTAATTTTTCCAATTACATGATTATAGTAAAAACTTAGAAAATTCAGATATGCAAAAAGAAAAATAATCCCTCAGGAATAATAACCATTCCAATCATTTTGAGGTATATCCTTTCAGACTTGTATTCATATATTCTTTCTTTTCTTTTCTTTTTTTTTTCACAAAAATGAGATTCTGAAAAGATAGAGATAACAGAACTGAACACACACACACACACACACACACACACACACACAACTGGGGAAATAAGATTGGGAACTATATAAAGCCAGGTCCCGTGTTAAGAGTTTAATTGATCATCTTAGCATATCCACACAAAGGAGGAACTGTTGCCATCCTCATTTTACAGATGCAGAAACTGAGACGTAGAAAGGGTCAAGTGACTTGCCCAAGGTCACAGAGCTGGTAAGTCTCTTTCCGGGCAATGCAAAGAATTAGATGGATATATTAATCACTTTCTAATATTCCACTGCTGTTAATATTTAGCCAGTTCCCTATTTTTGGACATTTGGATCAATTCTGATTCCGATTCTTCTGGATTTACACAATAAACACCTGGCAGACACACCCCTTAAGTCCTGTCTAACCCTGAGAACCAATGGTTCCAGCCTTCTGCACAGCACCCTGCCCAGCATCTTACTAACCATGTGCAGGATGAGGATCCAGGCCGAGTGTAGGACATCAGATGTGACCACCTGTCAAGAGTAGAAGAGCCCTGTTGACACAGGCCTGGGCAGAAAGTACCCAAGGATGGCACCCTCCTGTCTGAGGAGAGACCCCAGCACAAACCCACTCAGATATGAAAAGAACAACATGAGCACTCACAGTGAAGCCTGCCTGGGCACTCAGGTGTTCAGCAGCCACCAGCAGGGCATTAAGGGTGGCTCCTCCACTGCCCACGCGAGTCTCAGGGTCCTCCACAGCCAGTAACAAAGTCCTGGCGGGGATCTGCTCTCGTTTCTGCCGCACTTCCAGCTCTGTGGTCAGAACACAGCCAGGACCTTCCCCCCTGCCCCTGCCTCCCAGCCCTGGTTCCAAGCACCTATAGCAAAGCTACTAATAATTATTACATTATCTTTGACTCAGTAGCTTTTCATGTTGTAGCTCATTAGATCGTCTCCCAACTCTGTGAGGTAAGTATGATTATTCCCATTAGCAGATGAGAAAACCAAGTCTCAATAAAGTGACATAAAGCATCAAAGGTCACATGGCTAGGAAGAAGCAGAATCTGGGTTTGAATCCAGGTCTGCCTGGCTCCTGGAGCTATAGAGGTGTGGTAGGGGTTCTACATTAGGGCAGAGAGGGGAGGGAGGGTCCCCTACCTCTCTGGAAGACCTCGACACTGTCCTTGTACTGGCATGTCAGGATGATAACCGTCCAATCAATCCCCTTGGGCTGCTCCATACTGGCCAAAGTTGAGGGGCTTCCTGAGGCAGAGATAGAGGGTGTAAGTGAATTTTTTTATATTATCATATCCTAAAATTGAATTTTTGGTGTAGAGTTTTATGAATTTTAACACATGCATAGGTTCTTGTGGTCACCACCATCTATACCAAAAGAGAACTCCCAGATGCTGCCCCTTCAGTCACACCTTCCTCCATCGCTCATCCCTGACAACCATCGATCAGTTCTTTATAGCTAGAGTTGGAATGTAATCTTTTTCAGTTGACTTCTTTCACTCAACATAATGCCTCTGGGATTCATCCAAGTTGGTTGTGAATATCAGTAGTTCTACCTTCACTCTTTCCTTCTTTTCTTTTTTTTGCCAAGCAGTATTCCATTGCATGGACCTTCCACAGTCTATTTCTCCATCCACTCACTGAAGGACATTTGGGCTGTTTCCAGGTTTTAACAGCCATGACTAGAGCTGCTATAAACATTCATGTGCAAATTTAGTGTGAACATAAGACATCATCTCTCCAGGTGGATACCTCGGTATGGGATTGCTGGGTCATGTGATAAGTGTATCTTTGACTTTCTCATTTCAGGTGCATGTTATTTCCTCAGGAGAGAAAGTAAGGGGAGCAGGGTGAGGTAGACAGTGGGTTCCACCTTATAGCAAGAGGCTACCCTTTCTGTACCACTGGAACCTCATCATTCAATCATTGGCTGTAACCTGGGAGGAGGAAAGGCCTAACCTCCCAGACTCCTGAGGCTGAAGGGAATTCCCTGGAGAAGGGAGCAGTTGTGGGAGGGGTGCACCACCCTGCTCAAGGGGTCCAGGAAGGGTGCCAACAGTGCTCACTACAGGGACCTCAGAGGGGATCTCTCCTCCCAGGGGCTCCAAACCTGAAAGAGGCTGCAATCCCACCTGCCAGCATCTTCCTCTGGGGCACTCTGAGCAAGTGAGGTGAAGATGAAGGCAAAGCTATGGCTTCACCCCTTCCTATCTCCCCCAACACTTCTCTCCTACGAGATGGAAAACCAGTCTGACTCCAGAGCTCCTGGCTTCCCCAAGAACTCTGTAGACAAGACCCTTGGAGTGCCCTCGCATCTACCTCTGGCAGAGTCCTGGCTGCTGTCCTACAAAGCAGCCCACCCCCACCTCTCCCCTCCACCCCTCATGGCTCAGTGCCAGAGAGATGGTGGAGCTAGCCGCATGCCTTCCCAGAGCCCCAGCCCATGCCACAGCCAGAGCCAGCAGGAAACCTGAACCTCAGCAAGTTTCTTCTTAGGCCGGACGGACTCCTCTGCCACCAAGGTTAACAGAGCACCACTTAGCAACACCCACACTCCTATGAGCTTTCAGGGAAAGCCTCAACCACTAACAGAAACTGCTCTGTTCCCTGCTCAGCCCAGGAGGGAAATCCAGAGGGGAAATCTGAGCTAGAGATCTTGGCCAGGCACCTGAGGGCAAAGGCATTCCCCAGGATGCCCAGATGGCCTTCCAAGTAAAAGGATGGCAAGGGATTCCAGCCTGACCACCAACTTACTGTGGTATCTTTGGCACTCCTAACCCACTCAAGCCTCCTGAGGCAGGGAGTGTAATTGACCGATGCCCCCAGCTTGTTCACATGGAGGCCATGCTTCCTACCAACTGCTCCCAACCAATGACTCAATGCAGCAGGGACACGAAGACAGACCCATTCCAGCAATTTGGGGATCCTCTGACAGGCAATCCTGGCTCCAGGACTCCCCATCCACCCAACAGAAACTGTCTTAGAACCTCACTGCAGTCTGAGACCCTTCCTACCCAACCCTCCTTCCTTCTGGTGTTGCTTCACAGGGAGCAACTGACAGTTTTCCCTGCTTCCTCCAGCTCCCTCCTCTTTTTCCCTCCCCCAATAAATCTAATCCCATCTTGGTGTCTCAGCTTCTCTACGAATTTGAACCAATATGGGGAGTATAATATCATCTCCCTCTTGGTACCTTCAAAGGAAAATTCACTGTACAAACCTCTAACTTAATGTGTGGGATAGATGATGAAGAAACTGAGGCACAGAGAGGTTAAGTCACATGCCCAAGGTTACACAGCTATCAAGTGGCAGAGTCAAATCTGAACTCAGACACTTTTGTTTCAGAGTCCATTCTCTTAACCACTACACTGAACCTACTATATAGGACTGAAAAAAGAACAAAAGGAGTAAAGGGAATAAAGTGCTCCACACAGGTGGCAATAAAATGGAGATGACATTAATGATGACAACCATTAGGAGTGGGCTCACCCACTCTGACCACAATTAAGACATGATGATTTTTCATTCCTACAACACCCCCGGGGTAAGTGTTCTGTCCACTTTACAGGTGCTAGTAGATGCTACAGCCAGGACTGGGACCTGGGTCTCTCTGATTCTTATTCAAGTAATGGTGATAATGATGTTTGGACCCAAGCAAAGGTGATAAAAGAGAGCAAGGAAGAAATGCCCCAAGGGGAGTCCAGAGGTCTGAGTCCAGACTTGGTTTCAGCATAGTGACTGGGAGACATGGACAGCAGACAGGTCATACCCTGAGGAGGGAGGGCAGCCCTATCTAGATTGCACCCAACTAGAGACCAGGCAGAGAAACAGGACTCTGCCCCTACCTGTGTGATCTTGAGCAGGCTACTTAACCTCTCTGAGCCACAATTTTCTAATCTGAAAACTAAGGCCAACAATAGCAACCTCTTAGGACTGCTGTTTTTGTATTAAATAAAACAAAATACGTGACACAGAGCAGGAGCTCAATGAACAGTAGGTCTCTCCAGCAGGAAAAGGAAGCAGGAGAGTTTAACCTCGCTCTGAAGCCAGTAGGAGTGAAGGCTCTGAAACATCTGAAATATTCTCTGGGTCAAAGATGCGCCTGAAGAAGAAAAAGATCAGGGCAGCCTAGGGAAATCAAGGCTGAGGAGCATGCCTCGCCAGATCAGCCAAAAGGCTATTTTATGATAACACAAAGGGTGGAACAATACTTGTAGTTAATATTTAGGGAGTGCTTTTTTCAGGCACCATGCCAAAGGCATTGTAGTATCAGCTCATATGATCTACTCTATAGTCCTGCCTATGAACTGGATCTTATCACATTCAAGGTATAGGTAAGGAAACTGTAGCTTAAAGAGATGAAATAGTCTGCCCAAGGTCATACATAGTACAGGCAGAACAGGTGTTTCCAAGTCTAAGGTTCATGTTCTTAACCACCCTGTAGGAACAAGACCTCTCTCCTAGGGCCTCTACCCTCTGTCATACCTGACATCTCTACAGAAAACTTAGAAAATAGTCCTTCATTTTCAAAATTCTCTCCACATTTAATCCAGAAATGTGTTTTTGTTTTTTAAACTGATTTTAGAGAGAAGGGAGAGAGAGAGAGAAACATTAATATGAGAAACATTGATGGGTTGCCTCCAGTAAGTGCCCCAACTGGGAATCGAACCCACAACCTTTTTGGTATATGGGACGATGCTCCAACCAACTAAGCCATTTGGCCAGGGCTCTGTCCAACTTTAATAGAACTCCATATACTAAGGCTAAGTTGGACTATTATTTAATGTCCTCAGCCACATGCTGTCTAAAATTGGGATAGCTAAGGGGAGCCAGGGACAGAAAATATTAAGACGTCATCATATAATGTTTGAAGAAAGGTAGGGCAGGGACCTTGCATTTTAGAGCTTTAAAGAAAAAATCAGGCACATGGAGGGATCTGATTTGCCTTCTGGAAAAAAAAAAAAAAAAAGCAAAAGAAAGTTGATCAGGAGTAAAGTCATACTAAAGTACACAAAAGGCAAGTACAGTAGTCCCCCCTGATCCACAGGGAATACATTTCAAGACTCCCAGTGGATGCCTGAAACCAAGGACAGTATGAACCTTATACACACTTTTTTCCCCCCTGTACATACATATATACCTATAAAGACTTGCTTTGGATGGTATCCTTTCCCCTTAATCAACTTGTTCAACTCTGCTGGAAATGTGGCAGACACAGTCTCTCTAGTACTTTTTATATTTTTCAATCCAAATCTATTTATGAATCTGTGTAACCACCCCACTTTTGCAGTAAATAGCTTGGTGTCACTCTTTTCAGAGGACCCCTTGCTGAAGTCTTTGTATAGGCTCGATGCTTTCCATTGCCATCAATCAGAACACGTTTTCTGTTCGTGCCTTCTACTCACAAATTTAATGCCTTTTCCATCTTAACTAAGCACTTATCACTCACTGTGGCTGTGTAACTTGCAATGTGAGGGGCAACAGCAAAACTAGCATGAATTTTTTTCTTTCTTCACAATTTCACAGAACATTCGTTCTTACAGTAGATCTTAGCAACCACAGCATATGATTTTTTTCTTTCCTTATTAAGTGGAGGACTTCCACCTTCTCATGTACAGGAAGCACCTTCCGGCCACTCTGGCATATCTGAACCGCCAGCTTCACTGCTCTCGCACTTTGGGGCCATTATCAAGTAAAAGGAGGGTTACCTGAACTGCGCTACCTGACAGTGGATCTGATAACCAAGACGACTACTAAATTACTAACCAGCTGGTAGCATATACAGCCTGGATTAAGAGGGACAAAGGGATGATTTACGATTTACGCCCCACGCGGGAGGGAGCGGGTGCGGAGAGGTCTCATCAGGCTACCCAGAACTTCAGACGATCTAAAACACGCACTGTTTATTTCTGGAATTTCCACATAATGTTTTCAGATGGAACACCTCCGGTAATTGAAACCGTGGAAAGCAAAACCGGGGATGAAGGGGGGGGAGGGGCTAGTGTAATTGAGATTTGTGCATAGTGACGAGATCCCACGGGGCACACTGAGGCGGGAAAAGCGGCCTCACGGCAAAATCAGCAGCGCGGGCAAGCAGCACCCCACCTGCCTCTGAGGAGAGGAGCCCCTGGAACCCGTATCCCCTCCCCGTCCCCAGCGTTCCCAGGTACCAGTACTCCCACTGAAAGACCCCGGCAAAGGGGTAGCAGGACCTGCCGCCCCCCGCCCCCCCACACTACAGCCAGTGGGTGCCCAGGGGCGCCAGCTGAGCTCTCGGAAACTCTCTGCCTCGGTCCTGCCCCTCCGAGAGGATGGATCGGGAAACGGCAGCGAGGGGTGGACTGACGTGTGCGAAGCGGAGACTCGAGGGGGCCCGCGCGTATCCACGTACCTGCCTCCACCGGGTGCTGGGCTCTGCGGGCTTTTTTATGCCGGGTGCGCGTCCCTTCGCGGTGCACCCTGGGAAATGTAGTTTCGCCCCTCCGCCTGCCAAGGCTTGTCCTCTCCAAAAAAAACAGCTCCCACCTATAGCACGGGCAAGCAGATAGGGTCAGGGCAGCGCTTTCCAAAAGGGCAAGTCAGTCTTCAGAGCCAGAAAGAAGGTGAAGCAAGAAGGTGGCTCCGTTGGCCAGCAAAACTACAACTCCCAGAGGAGCTATTGCGTCTTAAAGACATAGGCTCGGTTTTGGTTTTTTTCCCCCGGGACTCGAGGTTTCAGGTTACGGGTTTTGTTTAACTCCCCGGGCCCCGACCTGCTGCAACTGCTTTTCTCCGGAGACAAAACTCCGGGGAGGGGGGCGGGGGAGGGAGAATCCTAGGTGTTGCCCGAGCGCAAACGACTACCGTTGGATTAGCAGTAGTAGTGCTTTCCTGGTTTTCATCACGTGGGTCCAAAGGGAAGAAACTTGCCAACTCTGCAGTGGGAAGAGGTTCTTCCGAGCTTTTGGTTAAGTTTTGAATGGCAGCATTGTTTGTAATAGCAGAAAGTTGGAAACACTCTCTGTTTAGGGTACTGGAGAAATAAAGACATACCTATGCCGTGGAATACTATGCAGCAGTTAGAACCAGGTAGAACTTGATGCACAACAGGAAACGGTGTTCAAGACGTTTTGTTAAGGGAGAAGCAGCAAGTTGTTAGAACCCTATGTCCGGGAAGCCACTCATGTCAAAAATAAAGTATACGGACACATAGTATGTGTGGGAAAGGACTGGAAGAGAGCACACCCTAGGGCAGAGACTGCTAGGAATGGAGAGAGGCAAGAGAACTTAAGCTTTATCTGTATTGTTTGAATTTTTCTTGCAAGAACATACTTTCCAAATCTACTGTCATTAATAGGGAGCCTGGGAGGTCCTGCCCTCAGTCTCAAAGAGGATAGAGGGACCCTACTTCAACTCCGTGTGTAACCCCGGCCAGTCACTTGGTTACTCTGCGTCTCCCTTGTCACCATCTGTAAAAATGGCTTAATAATCGTATCAAATGCTGAGACTGTTGTAAGGATAAGATGTATGCCTGACTCCATAGTAAATGCTCAAAAAATACTAACCATTTGACAAGAGAAAAATTCTGAGATGTCCTAAATTAATTTAGGGCAGGGCTCTATATACAGGGTGGGAGGAGAGCTAAGAGATTAATTAACAGGGCCACGGGCCAAAACCAACAAAAGACTACTCACGTTCCTGAATGTAAGTTAAAACTTTCAATCAACTTCCAGGAGGCTATCTAAAAAATAAATAAATTTTAAAAAAAGCAAACCACTAGAGCCACCCCATCCTGCATATGTGTGAGCTTTCTGCTTTGTTGCCCACAACCAATACAGAAGTAGGAAATATTTATTCTTTACCGTCCATGCGCCTATCCTAGAACTGCCACTGCTTCACCTTTTCCCAGCCTCTCTTTAAATATAGCCAGTGTAAGTTCTTTCAGAACAACTTACATCTTGCTTCCCCAAACCCATTGCTTAAAGGATTTCCCTCAGCTCCAGGACTGCAGGCATATTCTCCATCTAGCCCTGCTACTTGTGGTTTAGACTGTGTATATCCCAGGATGTGGTTCTTTTTCTGGCTAGCATATGGCTCAATAAACCCTTCTTTCAGAGAAGCTTTCGGCCGCAAAGGTTTTTTGTTTCACATATCATTATGATTATATTTATTGTTGTTATCCCCATGCTGCCCCATTAAAGCAGGGCCTTTGATTTGTCCACTTAGAATAGTCCCTAGGACATTGGAGGTGGTTAGAACATTTTGTTGAATGAATGAATGAATGAATGAATGAATGAATGAACGAATGAATGAATGAACGAACGAACGAACAATCCCCCCCCGCTCAGCTTCCGCTACCCTGCCTCCTCCAAATTTCTCTCCTTCCCTCAGTCTTCTCCCACTGGAGTCACTCCTCCTCTTCACCTGGCCCAGGTCTCATCCTCCTTGCTTCCCACACCTCAGTGCCTGTGCCTTCTTCTGTGAACCCAGGAGGCCTCCAGGGAAGTGATGAGCTAGCTGCCTCCCACTGCTGCTGTTCTCATCTTTGCCGATCCCCTCTCTGCAGTGGAGTGGGAGGCAGGGATGCCTGCAGCTACAGCTTTGGCGGAGGCTCAAGGAAAACAATGTGCCCCAAGGAGCTCAGAAGCAAAGGGCTTCACGCCACCTCCTAGGGCAGGCCTGCAGGAGGGGTAGAGGGTGGTTTCAAGGGCCTCTTGCACTTCTCAGACTGAGAGGCAGAGATTACTCCAGGAGGGTTTTTGATAAGATAAAGCCCTCAGTGCAATCTGTCAGCAGCAGACACACACAAAATGTGAAGCTCTCAGCTCTGTGTGTAGTCCCCCCAAAAAGAGGAAAATATGCTCAGGACAAAGGAGCCGGTACAACGCTCCTCCTCAGGGGAGCACACCAGCACCATTTCTTTCCCCCTTCTTCCCTCTGAGGGGACCCCATGAAACTTGCAACCGGGAGAGCAATGAGCAGCGGCAGCTTGTCCTGGGCTTAACCCCTGAACCTGTCTCCAAGGACCCCTTCTCTTTCTCTGACTTCTCAGTGAGCCAAAGCAGCCCAGCCTAGGTTCTCCTGTTGTTTCTTCTATGCTCTTCCTTGTTTCATTGTCTCAAGTATATTTTTGCTGCCATCATGGACGCAATACCCTTTGACTCAGTACTGTGTAGCTCTTCCCTTTGGATACTCCCTTCCCCCATCCCCTTTTCCTTAAATAAATTCAATGTTTCTTTATTCACTGTCTGAGATGGCTATTTAGCCTGCCCACACACCACCAAACCTTAACCTTTCAAAGGGGTTACCACAGGGCCTGGCCACAGTAGGCATCCAACTTCCTTATTATTATTATTTTTAATACATCTTTATTGATTTCAGATAGAGGAAAGGAGAGGGAGAGAGAAACATCAATGATGAGAGAGTCATTGATCGGCTGCCTCCTGCATGCCCCCTACTGGGGATCGAGCCTGCAACCCGGGCATGTGACCTGACTGGGAATCGAACCCCGATCGCCTGGATCCTAAGGTCGACGCTCAGCAGCTGAGCCACGTCCGGCCGGACCCTACTTCCTTATTATTCAACAAACATGCTGCCAGTGAATGAGGGTCCAGGAAGGCTTCTTGGAGGAGGTCCAATCTGCAGGGCCCTGGATGAGATGTGTAGCTGCTGCTGGTAGCAGGAAATTCCCTTGGGAGCCAGGACTGCCCATGGGGATATCTTAGGTTGGGTTCCTAGATATAGAGCCAGGGACTCTAGAGCAAATGATTTATTAAGGCAGAGGGAAGCAGGATAGGGCAGGGGAAGAAGCCAAGCAAAGGATGTGGCTTCATCTAAGTCTTGCCTCAGTCTGATCCTACAGTGAACTCTGGGACAAAAAATGCACCACAAGGTTTAGCCCTCTCAGAAGCAAAGGAGCTGGACTTTGTACCCCTCTTCAGTCATTCATAAGCTGTAGGCCACTGGGAGGTGGGACAGGGAGGACCGTAATTTCTCAGGCATTTCTGGGTGAAACATGGGCTATGTGGACTGAAGACCATTCAGAGAAGGGTGGAGCTGTGAGCCGTTAGCAGCTAACACAACAGCTGGAGAATGGTAAGGGATGTCACCAGCAGCATTTACTACAGGAGGACTGGTGAAGAGAGAGGAACTGGGTAAAGAAAATGGGAAGGGGATATTAAACTCTTCTTTTAGATCTCCCCAAGGAGAAAATGAAACAGCTGGCATGGTTTTTAAAAATTAAAGCCCAGCCCAGCCGGTGTGGCTCAGCAGTTGAGCATTGACCTATGCCAAGAGGTCACAGTTCAATTCCCAGTTAGGGCATATTTCCAGGTTTCAGGCTTGATCCCCAGCAGGGGGCGTGCAGGAGACAGCAGATCAATATCTCTCATCATTGATGTTTCCATCTCTCTTCCTCTCCCTGTCTCTGAAATCAATAAAGATATATATATAAATACACACACACACATATATATATAAATATATATATTTTTAATTAAAGCACAGATTTGAACAGTAAACCCTTTCTGGACAGCTATTAAGTGGACTTCATCACTAAGTGGCTCCTATTCCATTAAGCCTAACCATTGCCATTGGTAAATATCTTGTGCAGTATTTCCCAAAGAGTGCTTCTATAGGATGTTAACAAGTGCTGCCACACAGAGGGTGCCACACAGAATCATTAAAACAAAGGTAGACAGGTTTATTTTCTCCTTACAACTTTTAAAAATCAATATACTGGATAAACAAAGTGTAGTGTATCCATACAATAGAATATTATTCAGCCACAAAAAGAATGAAATACTAATATATGCTACCATTCGAGTGAACCTTGGAAACATTATGCTAAGTGAAAGAAGTCAGACACAAATGACCATAGATTGTATGATTCCATTTATATAAAATATCTAGAATGGATAAATCCATAGAGAGAGAAAACATTAGAGGTTGCCAGGGGCTGGAGTGGGGAGGTGGAGAGTGATTGCTTAACAAATACAGTTTTCTTCTGAGATGATAAAACTGTTTTGGCAACAGAGATATTGGTTACAAAATATTGTGAATGTACTAAGTACACTGAATTGTATGCTTTAAAATGTTAATTTTATGTTATGTGAATTTCACCTCAATTTAAAAAAAAAAAAGCTCAGCCCTTGCTAGTGTTTCTCAGTGGTTAGAGCGTCAGCCTGCCCACAGAAGGGTCCCGGGTTCTATTCCCAGTCAAGGGCACTTACCTGGGTTTCAGGCTTGGTCCCTGCACCTGGTGGGGCATATGTGGGAAGCATCCAGTCAATGTGTCTCTCACATCCATGTTTCTCTCTCTCTCCCCTTTCCTCTCTCTCTAAAATCAATAAAAAACCATATCCTCCGTTGAGGATTGGGGGGGG